AATGCACTGGAAAATATGTCATCGTCTGCACATAAAAGAAAAGGAAAAAAAATTTGTAAACAGTGCTTAACAGCTCTCTAGTACTGCTGACAGAGCACTAAAGGCAATAAATACTTAGTATCAAACACAACCAGCCATTTATCTTGCTTCCCTAAGTGGGAAAGCTCATTATTTTTCTTCAGCTGTATTCCCCCTTCAGAACTGAGGTCAAATTCAGCTCTTAGCCGAGCAAGTGTAAATGTGGCAAAATCTGTTGTTTCAGCAAACCTACTTTAGTATAATTGACAAGTTAATCCAGTCAACATTATCACTTCTGTTTACAAACTTGCTCATTATGCATGTCCTAGTCAGCCCTATCTGCCAATATATGCTGCTGGATTTTTTTTTTTAAGGAATGCAGCTGTTCAGTATATGAAATGTTTAGATTCACAATCACTCAATTCACGTACTTTCCAAGCTGCTTTGTCACTGATGAATATTGGGAGAATTAAATTAATTTTTATTTCCAGTCAGGTGTGGGCCAAAGTTAAATTCCAATGTCTATCTCATTAGATTCATGATGCAATACTTCGTTTTGGTTTTTGAGTTTCAAAAATGTACATTTATTTTTAAGTGAAACATATTAGTATGAATAATTTATTATTTCTAAGATTGTTTTGTATTGTCTAATTCCTGTCTATTTTACCTATTTGTGAATTCTACAGTTTTGCTAATTATTTTTATACATTTGTAATTCTTTTCAATATTTAAAAGGCAACCAGTCCAGCAATCCAACCATTACAAAGATTTGGAAAAAGTCTTCTAGTTTGTCTTTTGTGTCATAGGTAGATTTTGAGGAAGTACATACCTAGCGCAGTAGCTTTCCTGAATCTGGCATGACAGTGGATACAGCTGTTTTGATTGACCTCAGCTCTAATGCTCTTAATTTTCTGCATGACCACAATTAAGGGTCATGCATACATTGCAATCCACTGAAAACAGTCCCAAACCACGTTAATTTTCATGATATGACACTACAAAGTGACAAGCGCAGCAAACAAATTTTGTATCGAAGAAAGCATAAATATTGCCTAAGTTATGGCCAGAATTAACATGGTTTTGTTGTCTGCACAGCACTTCTTACTCTACTTCTGCTACAAAATCTTAAAAGAAAGCCACTTTTCTCCATAAACAACTCCCTTGTCTGAACAAATTTTAGTTAGTGTAGTCTTCATGAAGGGTAAGACTGTAACAGGATACTAGAGACAAGAAATAAAGACTGCAGCTTTTAGGGAAAAGGGGCAACTTTGCTTTCCAATGCCTCTCCTGTAAGATTTATTACAGAAAAATAAGGAAATAGATGCGCTTTCAGCTTTTTTTTTATTTTGCTTTTTTCAGCAGCTGACATAAAATATAATTACTATTCTCACAAATCTCACTGAACTGAAATACAATGCAGCAATACCCAAGTTCTAGAACACTCCTTAACCTGGTTACTTAGTGGAAGAACATGACAGACCTAGCAGGATCTCATACAAGATTGTTAATGCATCACTCATGACAACACTCCCACCAAACTTAAAATTGTTGGCCCAGCTTGACAACTGAAAAAAAGGAACCAACTACATTAAGGCTTCTGAAGCCTAACTTCAAGCTACAGAACGCAGTTGGGGTGAACTTTGTATTACTTATGAATATTAAAAATGTTAGGGTTTTTTTGACACGTTTCTACTCTGGATGCTCACAAGAGGAAATCTAGCATGCCTTTTAACCAGTCAGTCTCTACATTTGCAAACAAATCTTCAGAGGAAAGAAACATATGCCCCAAAGTCAGAATCACAGAACAAACAGTAATTTACAGTAAGATATGAAAATACTTAAACACAGATTTGTCTGTGCCTGTGTCCAATTTACTGCAATGATGTGATAAACAAAATGCAATATGGCAAGTGTCAGCTTTTTGATGTATTCAAACCAGTTTCTGAAACTAAAAAGGGATCTTATATTTTTCTGCAGCATACAAGTGAAAACAAGGGTTCCATCCTTCACATGGTCATTATAATGAAATGCCTTTGAACAGGGAAGAGTAATTTCTGTTTATGTTGGGTTTCAAGATCTCTGATGGTCAGTTTCTGATTCCCTAACGTTATTGAGTTGCACTAATGCACTCAAATAAGCTATGATACTACATTCCTCTCTCTCTCCTAATTTTAATACAGGCTAGCAGTGCACTAATTTGCAAATGTAAGTAGATGTTTGCAGGTGTCTTCACTGAAAAACTTATACTCTGCTATGAAGTATTTCCATCATATGACTGGATGGACGGATACCATGCAGTCAAATGAGGAAGGCATGAACCTCCAAGCATATCAGCATGCATATACCCACTCCACTACAGTGCATTGTGTTAAGTAGCATATTATAAAGTCAGGAAAAAAGGGGAAATTCTTCCATTTTTTCTTTTAATTAGCAGAAACAATCCCTGCAGAAACAAAAGAAGAAATGCCATGTTTTAGCTACAGCATGAAACTTTCATACTCTTCAAAAGGCGTGCTTAGACATAAATTTTCTTTTTGTTCCAGTAATTTCTGCATCAGAATCTGTAGCACACATTTGGAATTCAAATTATTAGATTATTTTCCAGTTTTGAAATCTACAAAACAATACTCCTCATTCTCATTCTACTCTACAGGCCACCACTTTGGTGTCTGAATCATTCCATGCACTTTCCCATAGAAACAGGTTACAGCAGAGTAATTTTCCTTTACTGTTTTCTTTATGATGATTTCATTTAATAACTAAGTTTTGTTTCAGCCTCTATTTACATTCAATTTTATGTCCTGTTGCTCTGAACCAGTTCTGACTCTGATATTACCTGTCAAGAACATTAAGCCTGTCCTTGCTGCTTCCCAACACTTTTGCTTGCTGACCAGACCACTGTCTTGTTTCCATCTGGCTCTTGAAGGTAATTCATAATCCAGTGTCTTTTCCATGCAGAAATAAACTCTGTGGGATTTTTCCCAAATAACTCAACCCTTTAAAAATGAGTCTTACAGTTAATATGTTGAGAGGTCTTAAGATCCAACAGAGCACATGTTGCTAGTGACGTAGCAATTCACAGTTCTTCAATCACTTTCTGAGTCCAAATCATTATTTTAGCTTGTCTTCTATGCCAAAAAGCACATGCTACATTCTGCAGAGCCTTCTCTTACACTGCACACGCTTTCCTGCCTCGCGTGCCATTTAACGTGAGATATCAGAGCTAACGCAATGTGACAGCTATCTACACTCCATATGCTTTGGCTGTTCTCAGCTAAGTGCTTTGTCAGAAATTTCACCTTGGATTTGAAAATGATCTCTTTGCTCGGGATCAGTCCCCCAAATACCACAGCTTTCAGATGCTTTATCTTCATTTCTGTGCCCTGTCTCAAGGAGCATTCATTACTGCTACGTTTCTCTCCTACTTGGAGTGTGTTGCATTCAGCAACACAGCAGCCTAGCTGGCTTCCTCTTCAGTTGTGTGAAAATTACTAAAAATATGGAATGCTTCTTAAATAGATCTCGTCAAAAACAAAGCAGCTGTTTTCCTGTGCCAGAGGCGCTCTTACAGATACACAGGAAGGCGGTGTGACGCCTTTCCCAGCTGTCCTCCGCATCTCCAGTTTCAACACCGGAGGACTTTCAATTGTTACATCTTTTCACTCGTGGAGGTGTGGGGTTTTTCTGTGGTTTTTTGTTTTTGTTTTTTGTTTGTTTTGTTTTGTGTGTGTTTTGTTTGATTTGGTTGGGTGTTTTTTTTTCATTTTAATTGTGCTCTTCAGGAGTCGGTCAGAGTGAAGGAATCTGACAGCCTGGAGTTTCATTTCGTTTCCAAAGTAACACGGCCACAAGCGCCACGACCGCGAGACCCGACAGTGCAATTCCCAGGCCGGCTGCGCTCCCTCTGCAGCGGGACGGCTCCGAGCGGCTCCGGTTCCCGCGGCACGGCTCCGAGTGGCTCCGGTTCCCGCGGCACGCCCGAGAGGCTCCGG